ACCTTTGAACCCTGTTTTAAGCTCCGAGTTTGTATAAGTCCACTGAAATGTCTTTTCCAGACTTCTGTTATGACGGTTGTGGGTCTCAGACTCCATGTAAAGTGGTTCTAGAACCTGGGTCACTTAGCAGCTAATGATTTGCCCTTCTATCCATTCATTCGACACATATTTAGTGAGCACCTACTGGGTGCCAAGCAGCATGCTGTTGCTAGAAAAGCAGTGACGCACGGCGGGCTCAGGTACCTTGCTTGTGGAGCTCACAGTGCAGGCAGGGGAAGCAGAGTGAGGAAAGAACCAGATCCCCTTCAGGACTCTGCCTAGTCCTGGGCCGTTTGAAGACACCCTCTTCTGACCCATTGATTTGCCCAGTCATTACATATTGAGCACCTGCAACGTGCCCAGAGAAGCTGGTCGTAGATTCTCCCTTTGCAAAGCAGCAAAGCATAGCGCTTAAGAGCTCAGACTTAAGAACCAGACCGCTTTGGTTTGAGTACTCTCTAGCTCTCTCTAGATGTGAGGGCCTAAGGTAACTGAGCTCTCTGCATTTCAGTTTCTTTATCTAAAACAGGGGAAATAGGCTGGGTATGGTGGCTCATGCCTGCAATCCCAGCACTTTGGGAGGCCGAGGTAGGAGGACGGCTTGAACCCAGGAGTTTGAGACTAGCCTGGGTAACACAGTGAGAACTCGTTTCTACAAAAAAGAAAAGAAAAGAAAATTAACGAGGCATGTTGGCACATGCCTGTAGTCCCAGCTACTGGGGAGGCTGAGGTGAGAAGATCGCCTGAGCCCAAGAGGTTGAGGCTGCTGTGAGCTGTGATCGTGCCACTGTGCTCCAGCCTGGGCAACAGCATAAGACTCTGACTCAAAAATAAAATAAAATGGGGAAAATAATTCTGCCGTCACCACAGAACTGTTAATAAACTTAAAAGTTAATACCTAAAGAGCTCAGAATGGTGCCTGACATATAGGAAGTGCTCAGGGAGTGTTTGCTCTCCTGTTGTTATTTTTCTGCCTGATAACCACTAGCCATTGAGCAAGTTGCTATTATTATTTCCGTCATTATAATTATTATTTTAATAATGGTCCTTTCATTAAGAGGACAGGGCATCTGGGGGCAGCAGAGATGCGAGTTCCTTAATCTCTCTGTAAATAACCCCTTTTAGACCCAGGAGTCTGAAGCCCACAGTCCCTCATCCTTCCCACTTTCCCTCTGCCAAGAACTCTAAGCCACTCTCAAGTCCACATCTTCTGGCTTTCCAAAAAGTGTTTCTGACCTTCAGAGCAGATTTCTGCCCTCTGGAAAGAAAGTGCAGGTTGAAGGATCCCTAGGGACAGAAAGAGAAGCCAGGAGACCTTCACCTCCTCTCCCGTAAAGCCAGAGGCACCTAGGGCAGAGGAGAAGCAGCCCTGGGTCCCCGCTCCTGACTGAGACTGCGTGTGTTGGCGGGGGGGTCCCCAGGTCTGTGCCCACCGCTACACCCAGGTGCTGTGGTCAGGGTCAGAGGACCAGCGGCGCATGGTGGGCAAGTGCTACGTGCGAGGCAATGACCTGGACCTGGACCCCAGCGATGACTGGCAGACCTACCACAATGAGATGTGCAACAGCAACACCGACTACCTGGACACGGGCATGTGCCAGCTGGGCACCAGCGGCGGCTTCACCCAGAACACCGTGTACTTCGGTGCCCCCGGAGCCTATAACTGGAAAGGTAGGGACCATGGCGGGTGGGGAAGGAGCAGAGACACCCACCTCAGTCAGCCCCCGGGACAGAACACCCACACCAAAGACAGGACCCCCTGGCCAAGATCAGCAGCCATCGTGACCTCTGCCATTGTAAAGCACTGACTGTGTACCAGAGGCCTTACACATGTCATCTCAATGGATCTTAAAATACTCTTAGGAGAGCCGGGCTCAGTGGCTCAGCCTGTAATCCCACGCCTTTGGGAGGCTGAGGTGAGTGGATTGCCTGAGCCCGCGGGTTCAAGACCTGCCTGGGCAGCGAGACCTCATCTCTACGATAAATCAAAAATCAGCCGGGCGTGGTAGCGCGCTCCTGTAATTCCGGCTACTCGGAAGGCTGAGGCGGAAGGATCGCCGGAGCCCAGTGGGTCGAGGCTGCGGTGGCCGGGAGCGGCCACTGCGCTCCAGTCTGGGCGACAGTGAGATTCCAACTCAAAAAAAAAAATAATAATAATCTTAGGAGGCAAGTATTTTTATGCCCATTTAATAGAAAAGAAAACTGAGCCTTGAAGAAATAAACTGCTCGAGGCCAACAGTAAGTTATGAAACTGGGATGTGAATGGAGGTCCGTCTGACTTCAATGTAACCATTTAAGAACTAATTTTATTTTTATTTATGTATTTATTTTTATTTTTATTTTTGAGTGGGAGTCTCACTCTGTTGCCCAGGCTGGAATGCAGTGGCATGATCGTGGCCACCGCAGCCTCGACCTGCTGGCCACAGGCGAACCTTCCGCCATAGCCTTCTAAGTAGCCTGAACTATAGGCGTGCACCACCACGCCCCGCTAATTTTGTGATTTTTTTTTTCTTGTAGAGATGATGCCTCACCAGGCTGGTCTCAAACCCCGGGCTCAGGCAATCCTCCCATCTCAACCTCCCAAAGTTCTGGGATTACAGGTATCAGTCACCATCCCAGCTAAAACCTAATTTTAACAACAAAACCTGACCAGGAGTGGTGACTGACACCTGTAATCTCAGAACTTTGGGATGTTAAAATGGGAGGATTGCT